AAGAAAATGATTGCAGGGTGGCGCCTGTGACTCAAATGAGTAGGGCGCCAGCCCCATATGCCAGAGGTGGCAGGTTCAAACCCAGCCCCGGACAAAAACTGCAGCAAAAAAAAAAAAAAAAACCAGAAATAAAGAAAGAAAGAAAATGATTGCAGATGATAGGCAAAAGGGAATACAGATAGGAAAAGAAGTAGATCAGAGAAACCCAAAATCTGTTGCAAAGTGCAACAGCCTGAAAGCCTGGCTCTTTAAAATGAGGTGACTGTCTTGGTGGAGCTTTACCCCTCCTCCAGCACAACTTGGCTCCAACATCTCTGAGCACCAAGAGGCCAGGCTCCCACAGGTGTGGCTGCCCTCTCAGGGAGAGTGAGTGCTTTGGGGGAGTTAGGAACGTACTAGAGATAGGATGAGCATCTAAACCTTGTTAAGAGAGAAAAAGTCTCCCAGGAAAAGATAAGGAGAAAAATATCTCCTTTTTTCTGTCATCTAGGTATGGGCAGAAGGGCCAGCTCATTGTAAGCACAAGGTTTTCTGGGGATTAACTGCCAGTCCTGAGATTTGTGTGCATGTTCTATTTGGGCTTTGATACTCTGAATCTGGACTGTGTTCCCCGTCCCCCTCTCTATTTGTGTTAGATCATAAATAACTTAGAGTAATAATAGTAAGAGGTAAATCAGCGTAATTAATATAGTTAGTTAAAGAAATAGTTTGTTTAGAAAATACAAGTGCAGCAGAAACTATGAGGGAAGGGTTTAGCCTTCCCCTGTTTAATGTATGTAAATCCACATTCCACTTCTTAGATCTAATTTAGAAAACATGTTCCCATTTGGTTCTCTTAGGAAGTAGTACACTAAATGCCTCATTCAAGAACATACTCCTTTTTGAAACTACCTTTTCTCTCTACCCTTGGGTAGATCCAGTATTTGATGAAACTCATGAAAGTGGATGGAAACTGTCTTTGCCCCTCCTCTTTTTGGGGATGCACCATATATGTGGCTGTGACGTTTAAGGAAATTTGTTTGCCATTTGATGACTTTTTTGTAAGTTAATTTCTAATTTCTTTCACTGATAAATGAAGAAAAGTCTTAGACCTTTGAAATACACCAAATGGACTGAGTTTGTAATTTAAAAGTATTTTTCCCTGTCAGTCTTATCTTACATACTTAGCATAGACTTGGAACTTAATGAGAACATAGCTGAAAACCTGGTATGTAGAGGAAATATGAGGGGTGGTGCTAGAAGACAGATGTTTATGGAATGATTCATAGCCTCTCAACATTGTGAGAGTGGAGGTCTGTTTCATGAAGAAGCTAGGGATGGGGAGAACATTAACAATATGGGGATCAGTCAGGGAATCCCCTTTTTTCTTTTTTAGAGACAGAGTCTCACTTTGTCACCCTTGGTAGAGTGCCATGTTGTCACAGCTCACAGCAACATCCAACTCCTGGGCTTAGGTGATTCTCTTGCTCAGCCTCCTGAGTAGCTGGGACTACAGGTGTCCACCACAACGCCCAGCTATTTTTTTTTTGTTATTGTTGTTGTTGCAGTTTGGCCGGGGCTGTTCACACCTGCCACCCTCGGTATATGGGGCCTGTGCCCTACTTACTGAGCCACAGGCACTGCCCAAGAATCCCCTTATTTATTTTGCATATGAGGAACCCTCAAGAAGACAAATGAGGCTATCCAGTTTAATAAAAATCATGGAAAGAGTCTTACAAAGACTTTTCATGGCTGGGTATAGTGGCTCATGACTATATTCCTAGTACTCTGGGAGGCCAAGGCTGGTGGATTGCTTGAGCTCAGCAGTTCAAGATCAGCCTGAGTAAAAGAGAGACTCTACTAAAAATAGAGAAACTAGTTGGGTGTTGTGGGAGGTGCCTGAAGACTCAGCTACTTGGGAGGTTCAGGTAGGAGTATTGCTTAAGCCAAAGAGTTAGAGGTTGCCATGAGCTATGATGCCATGGCACTCTACTCAGACTGAGACTCTGTCTCAAATAAACAAACAATAACAACAACAACAAAACAGAAAACAATTAACAATATGTTAATAGTTACTTTATGTTTTTAGCAATTTCTTTAGATATTGATGGATTACACTCCCTAATGAAAAGAAATAAAATACTTGTGTGGATTAATGACAAACAAAACCTTCCAATGTGCTGCCTACAAAATATTCACTTTCCCTCTAGGAGGCAAATAGGCTAATAGATTCTATCTCTTTTTTGAGATAGAATCTTACTTTGTCCCCCTCAGTAGATAATGTGCTATGGCATCACAGCTCACAGCAACCTCAGACTTGTGGGCTTAAGCAATTATCTTGCTTTAGCCTCCCAGGCTGGGACTATGGGCTCCTGCCACAACACCCTGCTATTTTTAGAGACAAGGTCTTGCTCTAGCTCAGACAATCTGCCTGCCTTAGCCTCCCAGAGTGCTGGGTTTACAGGCAGGCGTGAGCCATTGCGCCTGGCCAAATTGGCTAAAAATAAAAGGATAAAAAAAATATTGCATGTAAATAATACCACAAGAGAATCAGGTGCCTATAATTAAACATAATAGACTTTAAGTAGAAAAAATGGCCACAAAAAACAAATATTAATATTATATGAGGTGTGACAATTAAGTTCACAAACTCATCCTAGAAAAAGTGCTGCAAGCCTCATTGCTGAATATCAGAATGATCACCTTCGAAGTACTCCCTTGGGGAAGCTATGCACTGATGCCAGTGCCTAGTCCACTGTCTCAGTACTTTTTCTTTTCTTTTTTTTTTTATGAGGATATTTTGGCTTTTGTCTCTTTTTTTCTTATTGTTGGGGATTCATTGTGGTGTCACAGTACTGTTCCAATGATGAGTTTGTGAACTTCATTGTACAATGACAGCTCCATTTCAGAAAAAGAGTTCCAAAACTGCTTTGAAGGTTTGACCAGCTCCCTGGTGTCAGTGCATAGCCTTCCAAGGGGAGTATTTCAAAGGTGACCATAGTGCTATGTAGCAATTTTTCTAGGATAAGTTCACAACTGTAATTGACAAACCTTACATGAGAGTAAAAGGTAAAAGGTGTCTATATACCAGAGTATCTATAACACATACACAATACCAGTGCTCCCAAATATGTAAAGTAAATATAGAGAAAAGTGTAGCAAAGGCCAGGCACAGTGGC